CGGTAAGATTTTCATGTAGAATTTAGTTGAGCATTATTGCGGAATTAAGGGATTTATTGTTACTACGGTAACAGTACCATGTACATTGTAATTGGCTCTTTCTAAAAAAAAGGCTGGATTTCCAGTTGTACATGTACACGCACATAGCTTGATCTGATAGAATTTCGGTGATTGTGAAACAGAATCGAGAATCAATTTGACTCGTGATTACGTAGAACTTAAAGAATTGTACTAAAAACCATATACATGTACATGTATATTATAAAAGTTGTGAAAGGTAAACTGAAATAACATTACAGTTCCGACGGAAATTAATGGCAGTTGGTCCTTAAAGAAAATCAAGCAATTTTTAAATAATCACTTACTTATGAAATGCCTATGGTAAGGCATTATAATGTGATGAAATTCTTAATCCAATTTGTAACTTAGTGCTTATTTTACTAAGTAAATATTTCTATAATTTAGTGCAAATTTTTTAAGCAGAACATTTTTTCTTAGATGGAGATCCATTAACATAGTACTCAATCGTAATAATCGCCCTATCGCTATGTCACAATCACTAAAATACCGTTCAAATAGAGGTATGTATAGTGCTCCGGAACGCACATTTCGGGTCGGGTCGGATTGTGGTCAAATCCGACCCGAAATATTTCGGATCAGCCTAAAAATCGTTATTTTCGTTCAATGTTAATTGGAATTAAACGAAAATTCGTGGGTATATACACAATTGCATTTCGAACAACTTTACTTAGACGCCAAATACAAGTGTCTTAGTAAAAACAAAAGTTATTAACTAAAAACTATTTACGATTTTCGGATCAAACCCGATCCGAATCCGACCCGACCCGAAATTATGGTTCGGGTTGACCTCAAATCCGATTCGACCCGACCCGAACAGAGCTTTAGGTATGTATGATACATTTCGAATCAAAGATAAATGGAACACCATAATTTTTTCGAGCCAACCTTTTAAAAGGATGTTATTATATGACGAAAAATTTTCAGCTATTACTTAATACTTAAATCCTGCATTGACATGGAATAAGAATGTATCATGTGTTGATTCTTAGGAGCAAGATGTCCTACTCAGAGGCATTTCAAAATAAATTTTGGCAATAATATAGAACTTTACATTAACTGTAAAGTTCTATATTATTGCCTAAATTTTTAGTAATTGTTCTTTAGGGTTACCTCTGAGTGGGTTATATGTTTTAATATGTCTGGAGTGCTCCATTAACAACCATATTGTTCTTTAAATAAAAACTAACCGCCATTACTTTCCGTGTGAACTGTATTTAGAAATATATAACATAAATTAATAAAACAAAGACAACATCAAACATAAGAAGATAGAGAACAAGAAACATGCAGTTATATTATATTAAGTAAATTATCAAGAGAAGTTAACATACATAACAATTATCAAATAAAACAAAGATAGCATAAACTTGAGAAAAGAGAGCAATTATGCATTATATAACACTAAAAAATTTAAGTAAAATTATCAAGAGAAGTTAACATACATAACGATTATCAAATAAAACAAAGATAACATCAAAACTTGAGAAAAGAGAGCAATTATACATTATATAACACTAAACTAAATTTAATGAAATTATCAAGAGAAGTTAACATATAAAAATTGTCAAAAATGACATTCGATAAATCATATTTTGTCATAAATAGTCTTGAAAGTGGTTCTGATTGCGATAAAGTGAAGATATCAGCGGCGTTATTGGAATATTAGTATTCGGCGTTGAAGAATTGTCAATTGGACCATTATTATCATTATCGATATTAATTATCCAACTTTCACTATCTGGATTTTCATTATTATTGTTTTTAGCGAAGAGGAAAAAATCTGTTTAGGAAATTGATTATCGTTATGATTATAAATGATTGTTGTTGCTGACGTTTAAGACAGCGACCCATCGATTTGTATTGTTACTTGAAGTGAACTGAAAATTATCATATTAGACGAAGTAGATATATCTCTTTTCTGTTCTTGAAGCATAATTCTTTATTTTTGCATTTTTTACTGAGCACATCAGTACTTCGTGAGCATATGATATAATCCAGTTTTTTTGTGGTTGTGGTGGTTTATTGCGATTTTTGGCAGGCTTAGTTGATTCTTCGATTGTGAGGGTTAGATCATAAGGAGGTTTATATAGAAGTTTACGTTCAGTTGTTTGTATTCTAATTTTTTTGGAAAGAAAGGACGTTCGAGATTGTAGCTGATTTATACGAAAATTGTATGAGGAATATTGTCCATTTCTATCAATATTACTTTTCATACCAGATATAATTTAGAGTCACTTCGATATAGAAAAAAGACAATATTGATTGATATCATTCATCTTATCTTTACATACTATATCTTTTATATCACAACAAAAAACATTATTAATCAGTTAAAAATAACTTCTTCATTTATTATTTATTGAATGAATACCGTATTTGCCGTGTAAGTAATTTTTTTAATTCCGCACATGTATTTTATTATACATGTATCAAGTATCACATATTTATATGTAAACATTTATTTGTCACAAGTGGCTTATACACGACAGATTCCATCGAACAATCTTTAAAATTAATTCAATAAAATTTTATATTGTTAACGCCTGATTAGAAGCAATCAATTAAACTTGCATCACAAAATGAATAGTTAATATGAAACAGGTTATTATGACATTCTCGTTAATATGACGAGACTACGCTATCCAAATAATACAAAACGATCTATATTCGTTATCATAACTAAAACTCTGTCTCATTGATGTCATATTAAAGAGATGCCTTTTTACATTTTACTTAATCTTATGTAAAATGGTTATATTCGGATATCAACATTATATTAACGCTATGTGATCACAGAGACATGTCTTCGCCATGCATGACACCACACTTCTCTAAACGCACTTTAACATAATAAATCTAAATTTTACGGCTTTTTCTGTTTTAATTTCAATTAAATAGATGTCAGTTCAAAGATGTTACCTTTTTTTAATTATTCAGTCGTTATCGGTATTGGTGAGCAACGGACTGGACACTCACTGGTCCAGTGTTCCATTGAGAATAGTCCATTATTTCATTGGTTCGATATCATCACTGGACCTTGATCCATTGATATCACTGATCAATTATTATAATGAGAACCAATTACATGTACATGTAACTTGGTCTATTGATGACTGAAAATGTATGCAAGCTGCGTCGCAATGGAACATGGACCAAAGTCCATTTGTCCAATGTAATCATTGGACCTGGCTGTATTGAGTCATTATACGTATGTATGTTTATCGGAACTTAATTATTGATTTTACGTTGTAAGTAAATTTAAATTCAATTTAAATTCTAACTTCAAATAAAAGTTTCAATCGACTTTGCTAAAAAGTTAAAATGTAAAGCAAACCTTTACGTTCTTCTGTTTCAGCCGTGACAACAAAGATATGTAAGTTTTTTTTATGCCACGAATCAGTCCGCTTATTTAAAATTTTCCAAATTATTGATGATATCCGTTGTTGGTATTGCTGAGTAAGTAATCTTAACTCGGAATTTGTTGTGAGACTAAAAGTATCTATAACGATAATGATAGCGATAGACTTGAGTTAACAATTTTATTTGAATCGATACGACACACGTATGTGATAATGATTATATAAAGTATGCAATTGAATAAACCTAATTGCTATGATCAAATAAATTAACTAAAGGACATTGTGTTTTTTATATGAAAAATTAATAAATATACTGTATACGTAAACATAGAAAGTTACGTAATAACATTAGCGATAGAAATCGTTAATAAAACATAACGATCAATCGACTGAGTTAAAAATAATAAAATTTATCAAGAATTTGTAGTTTTTTTTCATTCTTTATCGTTATGTATACTAAGACCGTAATAAAATAAAATAAATTAATAAAAAAGAATATTGAGCATTTGGAACATGCCTTAACTATCATTCTTTTTCTTCCGACACGTATTCAATAGGACGTTATTGTTCGTTTTATGCTCTTTGAAATCTATTTTTTTTTGTTAAAAAATTAAAATAGTATACAATATTTTAAAACGTCGATACTCCGTTGTTGTTAATGAGAAAACTTACGTTGTGTTTAGATATTCTTTCGGGCGTCTTTTTATCGTTTTCATCATCAATATCAAGCAACCGTGAGATATATGCTAACATTCTAAAATAAATAAAATATATATGCAATCAAAGTCGTGGTATAACTACCGTAAAAGTCCGAAAATAATCATCCCTTTTTTACTTTATTTTCGGAGGGTAAAATAGGGTAGCTCATTTTCGGGACTTATAATTTTTGCATGATTTGGGCTTGACAGAAGGGGTAGCTTATTTTCGGGGTTTACGTGATACAGGCAAAAATCTGAAAATAAAGATTGATTTTAAGAGATAGGGGTCAAAGTTATATGTAAAATGGCCACACCGATATTTTTATTTAGTGCTTAAGCTAGATTTTGACATATTTTTGCGTCTGCCAGTACACATTGCAGGATGAGGGTAGCTTATTTATTTTCGGAATTAGTCTTTTGCACGGATCTCGGATCTAAAAAAGGGGTAGCTGATTTTCGGAACTAGCCATTTCACGGAGTTTGGTTGGAAGGGGGAGGGGTTGATTATTCCCGGACTTTTACGGTAATAATTTTGGATACAAACTGGCACTTGTAGATTCTGCATTAATATCCATATCATATTCAGTAGCCACATATTCTATAGTTGTATTCAAATAAATATTTTTAATATATTTTAATAAAAATATGATAAGAAAATTTACCTTCGTTTGGAACATATAAACTGATACTTGTAGAGCCTAATATTGGATATAACTTTATTAATATGAAATTTATAATTATAAACAAAAAGCACCTGTATTATTTGGAATTGAAATTAGTTTTATGGTAAAGGTTCGACTGGTGTAAATTGCATTTAGATGTATTTGTTCTTTGGTTCTTATTTGTAGGAATGAATTTTTGTAATTTCATTTCTTCCCATCTCTGCTGTTCTGGTTTAAGTCACTCTTTAATTTCTTCATGTGTTTTATGAGATTCTAAAGAGCCGCAGTACTGAAAATGCAAACCATCGAGTTTCCACCCCTTATCGATATTGTCATTGAATAGATCGATTAAAAAAATCCGTAAAGTTCATAAATAAGCAGTTGGTTTTTTCTGAATACATTTTTTAATAGTAAATTTGCACCCTCCAGGAACATTATTTAGTATCTTAGGTTGTACTCCATTATAGATGTCGCACACAAGTTTTACATCATGACTCTGCTCACCGAATGGTCGTTCGTCTGTGAAAATCTCGTACATGATCATCCCAAAGCTATATATATATATCTTCAGCTTTAGTGTATGGCTTCCTCTGGACTCATATAATGAAATACTCCGCAAGTTTATTTGTATTTTTATATCAGCCAGTATTGTAAGTCAAAATCAGCAATATTAGGCATAGCCTTTGTTAATATATTTCCAGGATGCAAGTCATGATGCATAAATTTCCCATTGTGAATTGTGTTCAGCCCGAAATTATACTCGGTAATTTTTGTTTCCAAATTAATGCTTTTTGCACAATCACTATCGAATATTTATCTGTAGCTGGGTTTTTAGTTATTTTATAATACCAAATACGAGAACACTTTGGAGCAGTCTGAATCTAATTTCGAAAAATTAATTATCTTGAAAAACAAAGAAATAATATGCTTAAGGTGTTCATTTTACCTCGTTTATAAACTCGGATGTACATATTATCAAGTAAAAAATATCAAAATTTTATACCTTTCTATATTATATTTATAATAGTTGTTTATTTTTATTATATAGAAAAAATATATATACTAGCATTTATTTATATTTATAGGTTAATAATGATACTTTTAGATTCAATAAACTAATCTGAAAAATCACTATACAGTGAGAATTCGATTTAGCGCTATGCAATTTAACGATGATTGATTCAAATCTTGATCTAGCGAGGATGAATTTTGCCCAAATAATATGATATCGTTAAATCATGATGTTATTTACTTTAATGGAAAATAAAATCGCGATATACTGATAAAACGTTAAATCAAATTCTGACTATAATCAAAAATTTCAAAAATTACATAACGATAATGATCACTTATTTTTTTCTTATTTCTTGATACAAATAATGTTAATCTTAGTATGAGATAGATACGCAGCATGTTTGTATTTTCAAAATAATCTATTGGTTGATTATCTTCATTCATGCAGTACTTTCAATAACAGAGTTCTTATTAGATAGTTTATAAAATATAATAAAGATCGAGTCAGTTTTATTTGTTGGGATTTTTCTACATGTATTTAATATCAATAATATACTTATCTCTACAATCTTTATACGTACGTAATTTGAATAAATATATTATAGTGTAACCAACAAACTATGTATGTACACGTATACTGTTGTTACCGCCGGTAAACAAACTTCCTCGATTACGGTTCTTCGAGGGTAATCGAGTCGCGGATGTCAATAACGTCGGATCAGCGTATGTGTAGCGTCGCTGATTCCCAAAGCCGGTAGAATTTACAGCAACCACTACGGCGAGTTCCCATCACGAACGAGATAACACGTCCTAAATTGGCTGATTAATTTTTGTTAACTCCAAAAAAAGAATCTGACGTAATATTTCGACGGCCAGTGATCAAAAATATTACCATTTGATGGACGAATCGAATGGTTATATGTTTGTTCAAATCGGATCACTGAACGTCAAGAATTAGCGTTAGATTATGAAATAACCAATCTATATATAAAAGGTATCAATGATCAGCATTTGTAATCTTTTTTCTCGGAAAATTTTGGTACATCACAAATGACCTACGGAGAGTTGTAGGGGTAGGTTACTTCTGTAGTAATAAAATGGATAGTCATATGAAAATTATCGTTATGAATAAAATTATGGATTAAAGAAATTATTGTTACTACGGCAACATTATCTTTTTAAAAGAATGTTTGGTAAACCACAAGTTAGTTTTACATACATATCACACTTAGCTGTTTACTATAAAACAAACTTACATCTGAGAAAAGTTGCCGGGTTAATGGGTCATTACAGTTCGTTTGCGTCGTAACCAAAAAAATAGCCAGTAAAGTTTTATGGAAAAACTGATACATACGTATGTGATTACTTACTGTGATACCAGTATGTATGTTGTTTTTACATACATTTTATTCGTGTTTTATTTTTTAATGTCAGAATAGGATTATTAAAAATAATGGAAAAGACACAAATTAATCTCAAAAAATTAGCCATCCAAATACAACGCAAGTTTTTTCATTAATAATAATGATTGAGTCTCAACGTTTTTGGGCATTGTGTGCTAATTTTGATTTTTTTACAAAAATTATAAAATGAATAGTTAAACGTCCTATTGAATACATAAAATAAATGGTGAAAACCATATTGTTAATAATTAATTAGTTAACGTTAGCTAAAATAATGATCGTATTCTCATCCGTTAAATTTTTAGTACAGAAATTTTGGAAGATTATGTTTTCCCATAAATTATCGCCATTTGCAGCTTTTAACCCTATAAAAAAACATGCACATAAGATCCACAGAAATTGCAAAGGATGGTATGCAAATGGCGCGCGGCATGATACGTACAAGCACGGGGGAATGCGAAAAATTCCGTATACATAAACACGCTTTTGATGATTTTTTTTAACACGGAATCAAATTCGTGCCGTGTTAAAAAAACTATGACCTACATGTGTATATGTATACGGAATTTGTCGCGTTTTCCATACTTGTACGCACTATACCGGGCCATTTCGTACTATTCCTTGCAATTTCCGTGATTTTTACGTGCTTGGCTTTTTTTGATTGGGTAAGTAAGTAAGAATGCGGTTCATATAATTTTGTAAACACCTTTACCCAAATACGTAAAGTGAAAGCACTATTTGTTGTGCTGATTTTTGAAACAAATAATACAGGTGGAAAAGGCTGGTACACTAGTGGTTTTTCTTTTGGTGACTCTAGAGGAATCTCGGATTTCTAGTGGTTTCCTAATAAACTTCTAGAAAACCATGAAATGCGGGATTCCTCTAAAAAAAACCCACTAGTACACCAGCCCTTTTCTACCTGTCTAATAAACTTTGGTGTAATCAATGTTGACTCCTTTCCTGTAGAATAACATTTTTCTAAGCAGCATCGATCCATAATTCACATTTGTAACGGTATATGTTAACATAATCAATTTCGATATCGATGCATAACAATGTATGTACGATAAGATGCTTTTTTGTTTAGAACGCCGTTTCGGTTTGCAATTTGTGCAATATGAACAGTACTACATATAATTTAATTCGTTAATCTAGAAATTTTATCGTTATAATTTATACATGTACATGTAAAAGCTTGTGATGTTCAGGCTGATACTTTCATAACCAATCGGTGATTCTTTTTAGTTTGTACGCAAATAAATCCTTAACTTATAAACAAAGTTTGTAGTATTCGTGATGAATAATTGAAAAATGGGATGTTGTTGCTCTAGACGTTTTACTGAAGAGGAAGATAGAAAACTGAGGTTCCGCAATATCGGTGGTAGACGATATCATAATATTTCAGATTCAGAGTATTTTATTCCGAATGATGATGAAGAAGCTTATCGTTTAACTAGGTATCATCATGGTAAACAAGATTTGCTTTAGTATCGAGTTTCTCTTATAGACAATTATATGATTTATAATAGTAATATGTAAATTTTAGCAATAAAAGATATTTGGGGAGGATTATTTCATTCACCTATTGAAGAGAAGTTGAGACAAGGAGCTCGTGTTATTGATTTAGGGTAAGCATTTGGTTTGTATTTTATTATAAAAGCTCGAATTTTAAATATGCTATTAATACTTGACATGTTTAATATAAAAAGATGTGGAAGTGGAATTTGGATTTTGGTAACAGAATTTTATTCTCTTTATTAGATAGGGCTGAATTTGAATACTTAAAATAAATGTATTAATTCGTAAAAAATAGGATATGGCAAAACAATATCCTAATTCAAAGTTTATAGGAGTAGACTTATCTCCAATTTTTCCAACAGAAGGTCTTCCTTTAAATGTGGAGTTTCTCGAATATAATGTGTTGGATGGATTACCATACGAAGATTCGTCTTTCGATTTCGTTCACGAAAAATTTTTAGTTGGTGCTTTTACGGAAGCACAATGGAAAGAGAAAGTTATCCCAGAAATGACAAGGTTAACTCGGCCAGATGGATGGGTTGAGATGTTAGAAGCTGATACTTATCTTACATCTGATGGAAACGCTACAATTAGAATTGCAAAAGCTCGTAAGCAAAGCTATTTTTTTTGGATCATTTTGTATTCTTAATTAAATAACAGATTCTATTTAATTTTTGATTTTTAGTCCAAAATTACATGATACCGAAGGGAATGAACTGTACAATTGGGAAAGAGATTCCGCGCCTTTTAGAAAACACAAACGCGTATTCGGAAATCAGAAATCAATCAAAAGCCATAGTTTTAGGTAAAAAGGGTGGCAAATCTGGGCAAGAGGTAAATATTAATTAACAAATTTATTCACAAAATACAATACTATATGCTTTATCGAAACTAAATACTCTTTTCTACTTACTTGCACACAAAGACACTTAATTTTTACACGGTTGGTCTCAGTTCTATCAGAGGCATTTTATCGGCCAGTATGAATATAATGATCGAACATTATGATGCTCTTATCGAAACAATCTATACTGAGGCGGAAAAAACTACTTCTTATTTTAATCAATATCGAATTTGTGGTCATAAGAAGAATTAAAATTTAATATATATCGATATTGTAGCTTGTGAGATTGTTTTTTCAAACTAAGAAAACTTATCGAATTGAGAATATATTAGATATAAAAACTGAAAAGCTTATGATCTTTAAAGATATGAAATTAATTAATATCTACAGTGGCTCACACATGTAACGGAACGCGAAAATTAACTTTCTGAAATTTTTATTTCCATGACTATTAGTTCGAACAAAATAAAAAAGTGTTCATTTGAAACCTTGAAGCCACTAATATTTTTTAAATATGATTTAACAACAGATTATTTTGTGAAATAAGCTGATTAAAATTTACAATTAGTAAATTTCTCACATTGTGGAACTTTTTTTTTATGACGGATTCAAAATTGGACCACTAATTAAAAATGTTCTACTCTATAAAATCTACCTATTTACGAATTTTCACAAAAATCGGCTTAATTTTTAGATATTTAAGATCCTAAGACCGAATCTATTAATACATGAATTAATGCTCAAAACATAGATTCAGTCCTTCAGAGTCTCAATCTCAGTGAATTTTGTAACAATTTTTATGAAAATTGGTAAATAGGTAGATTTTATAGAATAGAACATTTTTAATTAGTGGTCCAAAATTTAATCCATCATAGAAAAAAAAATTCTTCAATGTGAGAAATCTACTAATTGTAAAATTTTGATTTAAATCACTTTATTTTACAAAATAATCTGTTGCTAAATTCTTCTTAAAAAATATTAGTGATTTCAAGGTTTCAAATGAACACTTTTTTAGTTTATTCGAACTAATAGTCATGGAAATAAAAAACCTAGTAAGTTAATTTCATGTTCCGTTACATGTGCGAGCCACTGTAAATTACTTGACTCGAATTACCTGACTTGAGTCAACTCATATTTTGACTCGTATTCTGACTCGACTTGACTCGAGTCAAAATGAGTTGATTCGAGTCCAATCACTATTCAATATTATTAAAATTTTTTGCTTTATACAGATCTGCTTTAAAATTTCTATCTAAATTTTTCCAGGTCCCTGTCGGTCAGTATCATGCTATGATTTTCAAATAGATTTACCTGCTAGCTGCGCCTAAATAAATACGCAACACATTTACACTCTATCCTCATAACGGATTGCTAATTAAATTCACGCTATAACGGATTTTTAAAATTTTAGCTTTACATATATAAAAATCCGTTATAGCATAATTAGTAAACTTGTTATAACTGGATTTTTAAATGTAATTTTCTTATAAGTCCCAACCACTACGTTGTAACGAGGGTAGAGTGTATCGTTAAACTATAGATGAAGCTAAACTCAATGATATGAAATAAGATACATACCGTATACATCGACTCAACTTAGGATAGGGTACGACTAGAATTAAGGATTAGTGCTGGGGATATTATTAGTGTTGGCTGAAAGATTCTAAATCCTATTCCATTTACAACATATATATATGCAATACAAGTTTTCGATCTCGCTAAGCTTTCATTATTCTGACTATGATTTCTCTTTATGTCAAACCACAGGCGATAATCACACCATCCGTGGTTATATCTCTCTGTAATCGCTACCTAAGCTATCAACTATTTTCAAATAACTTTTAACAAGTAAATATAAACAATTTATAGTTAATTGATAATAGCTTAAATGGCGACTACAGAGAGATATAACCGTAAATGAGTGTGATTATCGCCCTTCGTTATAGAGGTTTGACTGTATTTTTGGAAACATATATATGATATTTAGACAATCGAATTGTCTACTTTTGATTATTTTGTTAATTTAATTTTTTAACGATCAGGTCGGCCCCTTTTATGACCCGGCTACAAATTTACCGCCCAGAAGAAATGTGCACAATAAATTTCCACCAGTGTGACTTTTAGCAGTTTCAAAACATCTTTTTGTATTCATGCTAAGTATATTTTTTATCTTACAAGTTAATCAAGTCTTTTACTTCATCCATTCATTATAGAAATTCTTTAACTATTATGAATATAATAAATCAAAAAAATCATTAACTACAGAGAAACCTCTCTAAGTGCACCCTTGGGACCATATTAAAAAAAGACAGAGTGCGCATTTAGAGAGGGTGTGCATTTATAATTAGAGACCTTATAAGTTTGGAACTGAGCCATAGCGTGCATTTAGGACGGGTGTATATAGTTTGTGTATATATAGAGGGCGCACTTAAGTTTCTCTATAATCTGAATACATACAAACTTAGGTGTTTCCCTGCGAAAACCCTGTAATCTGTTTCAAATTACGGGCGATTACTACGATTCTGCTCAGAATCCGAAACCGAACTGAAATTTCGATTCAATTCACCTATTTTTGAAAAAGATTGGGGTCATAAAACCGAACCGTTCTAAACGATTACGTGATGTATCAAGATCGATATACAGTTTGCCCTCGTTGTTAGTAACATTGGTTATGGAACATATTTCACTTCAATTAAAAAGACACTTATATAACAATCCCTGTTGATATCAACCCTCTTATATATCAACAAAATAGTCCAGTCCTGTGAGGTTGATAATAACGAGGGCAGACTGCATCTAATTTAATGCATGTGACTTTCGTTATAGCAAACTCTTGTTATAGTAAAGACAAAACAGTCTATGATAATTCTCTTGTTATAGTAAATTTACTAATAAAGTCTCGATATACGTACGTAGTAAACTTTTACTAATACATGTACATGTAGTCCGATGCCTTTACTATAACAAGAGTCACTTGTATTACACAATTTGTCATGTGGGGTGACACAATAAATGATTAACAACCAACATGTATTTAAAACGATAACGATAACGATAATCGTTAACGTTAACGTTATTAATATTAATACACAGTGATTTAACGTTAAGACGTTATAAAGGACAAATCCAATATTAGCTTAGCTTGTCGTTATCGCTATTATTATGAAATGGTGAGTAAAATCTTCCTTAAATCATTTTATAGAATATTATATACAGTATTTTTAATCATACTTTTGTATCTACTTATATTATTTGAAAGAAGGAAAAAAACGATCACTGTATCTATTTTTTGCTTCAAATAAATATGCAAAGAATAAGATGCGCACCACTGGCCGGGTGCTGTTTCCAAGCGCAAGTTAGTTTTTAGTTTTATTTGATTCATATTTTTATATCATTTTAAGAAAACAAAAACGATTCTCAGTTCCCCGTATATAATCAGAGCATTGATATACGCGGTTTTCAATGAATCGAAGAATGAAAAATATCTGTTTTGTATTTAATTGATACTACGGATTTATCTCTCTTTCCTCTCCGATTGTCACACTCTTTCGCAAAAGTTGTTTATTATACGTTTTGCATGTGACCGTTGACTGGATTTGAAGAGATTACATTTCTTATTTTTGCCGTTTTGTTCCATTTAAACGTATTAACTCGATTCTTTTTGATAAAATGAGGTTTAAAAAAATCTTAGGATTCGAGTGAAAACACTACTGCCACTACTGTCATCATCGATTACCGTTACGTATCGGTATTGTCGTTAATCTCACAATTTTGGTAAAGCTCGCTTGGCCCGCTTGGTTAGTCTACTTTATTCGCGCCAAAATTCTATCCTGATCTCTATGCGGTGTTATATTGTAATTTCTATTTTTATCTCGCTTTTGTTTTCTATTTTTATTCAATCCTTAATTATATTTTAAGTTCTCTCAAATTCTCTCTTAAACAATAGTGTGCATTATGCGTTAAATTCTAGAATAATACTTCACAATGTAATCAAAAATATGTATATAGTCCTCAAGGACATTAATAAAAATTCTCCATTTAATTGAGACTTGTAGAATTCTTGTAATTGATTGTGGTTAGGACCTTTGATCCAGAAAAGGCATTGATATTGTTAAACGGAATATTGGTTGATTGAAAAGCGCTTTATTGTTGAATAGTTTAAGAGTTCCTGCACCATATATATTTTAATGAGAATTGGAAAATAATGCAGACACCTTTAGTAAGACTGTGCAGTTAAACCTCTATAACGAAGGTGATAGTCACACTTATGGTTATATCTCTGTAGTCGTATTTTGGTTTTTTTGGTTATTTTATTAAATTCCTGGCCTGGTATGATTCTCAGAATTTTAATTATATTTATTTATTATTAATTAATTTTGACGCTCCAACCTTTTCATTCTATAATAGTCTATTTGTAAATAAATATCCAATAAAGATAGCACTAATAAATCTTATAGCTTACTTAGCGTTAGGATGCTCGCTGATTTCGGCAAACACCGAAATGCTAAAATTAAAACAATAATAAATCTTACTAACAGACCTGCCGAAACCTATAGGTTGTCAATTTAACCGGATTAATAATTTTTGACCTTTTGTACTAATAAACCAGTTATTTAACGAAATAACCAGGAGAATACAATAAATCTATTTATATCTAATTATATAAATGCAAAGATTGTTCAAATGCATTTAAGGGATGATGAAATGATAATACATTACATTAACTTTCGTATATATTTTTAATCCGAAATCCAAATTCTATATGTGTTATAGTCACATGAGTAAATTTGAACCGGTTCAAAAAAATAAAGGCTTGCGTAATGTCCTGTGACCTGACCTAACTATTAGCAACAAATCTCTGAGGTTACGAATTCAATGCTCAATAGGTATGGGCATGTATCCTTACTCATAGCAAGTTATTTGAGTAATCAAAAAGCATAACTTTCTCTAGAAAGAAAGAAATTATTGGATAACTTCTCAAAAATAATGTTGTCTTCAAGTTTCTGAAGTGATCTCTTTTTTGACGTTTCTGATCAATTCTAGTCAACAAAATGATTTTCAAATATTGCAAATTTCGAAAACTTCGACTTTCATCATCATCCAATTCTGCAAATGAACTAGAAAACATGAAATATGAAAAACGTCTGCGTCCGCCTTGATCTTTTGGTAACAGCAAAGAAGAATTATCAAACTTATTAGCAACGTAAAACTTGAAAAGGGTTTCTCGCTTCGAAATGATTAAATTTATGAAACTATTATCCGATAGAATTGAGAGAAAAATGAGAGTTTGATGGAAATGAAATATCTTATGTTACTACATGAATGAGCAGTAAACTTCAAGAATTTCCTACGAGAGCACATGTAGTTCGATTTCTTCCATTAAATAATTAAGTCTGAGAGCTCGAAATCAAGCACAATAGTACATATAGAAAATGTGCACTTATATATACTGTATATGGATTTAGAATGAAATGATTTTTGCAAAATGTGCAAATAATTATAATTTACTTTGTAGATATAAATTTTTAAATCTTGACATAAGGCCATAAAAACAAAATTTTGAGGTTTTCATAACCAGGCCGGGTCATCAAAACCAGTTATGAAATTTAAATTTTGAGGCGCATTCTACTATTGTATTGTAAAAAGCATCAAACAAGTATAAAAATCAATTATTTTTTAGTCCGGTAACTTCAGTACGTTTCGAGATTCAGTAAACGGATCGAAGTGATCAAACTATCATTAGATTTGTCTTAACCTTAACGTTAACTAGACAAATTGAATGATGGTAAATCGCTTCGATCCGATCATTGGATTACGAGATATCGCGTCCCGAAATTACCTGACTAAAAAAATAATTGAGTTCACCAAAAATCGATTTTATATAAATAAATAGGCGGGTCGCCGGATCATTTTACAGTCATATGTTATGAAAACCAAAAAATTTTGTTTATGGCCTAACAATATTGTACTTCAAACAATTTTATCATTTATGTTCTATCCTATTTGAAGTCGAGTCACCTACTCTGAATTGAATTGAATACTCGAGTTAAAAAATTCTGCGTATACCGATACGTATACAAACACTAACCTTATCGTTATGTACGTATTCGTTCGTTACTTAATCTGGTTAATAATGACTATCGCTATTGTAATTATCGTTATTATCTAAACTGGATATCAATACTCAATGCAATGTACATGTAAAAGGTAAAAGGAAAATCATTGCATAATTTCGGAGATTTTTATCTTTATTGTTTCGTGCATAATTTTTTATACAGTACAAGTAACCAATCAAACTTCACCAATATATGTTAATGTTATTTATGTATTGATATTAATGCAAAAATACATGAAACACTTTGTACAATATATTACAAGACTAAAATACATAAAGAATGACCCGCTATTCTTTTTAACTATGTGAAATTCTATTATTCGCCTTTAGCCGAGCTCGTTTGGCTCTATTTCTTCCTTCCCTATCAGCACCGGTAGAATTTAAAAAAGCACCATTGTTAAGTTTCGTTATTCGAGCTTTTCCTATTTGTCGACCATATTTAAGAGCACGATCAATTAATCCATCACGAGATTTTTTGTCGACTTTTTCTTTAAGGTAATTATGATTTGTTCGTTTATACCATCCATCAATGTCTTCTTCAGGAATATTAGTCCATTGTGAAAGCAATGATCTGTACTTTTTATGCGGCTTTTCAAAATCGTTATCAAGCAAGTATTTGATAAGCCACAGCGTGGCTTCGGGATCAATTCGATCGCGTGTTTTTTTCGTCGTATCTAAGGTTTTTATTGTTATTGGAGTGGCGAGTATATCATGAGTAATACTTTTATTCTCATAATATAATGAAGTGGTCTGTTCCACTAATTTGGAGTGAATCTCTATAAGATGGTTGGTAGTTTTTACTTGCTGATTACATATTTCAGCAACATTCTGTGTGAGTGAAGAGAGAAGAGCAAAAAATTCAAGATCTAATTGTTCATCAAAATCAAATGTTATATTGGAGGCTTGATTGACTATATTTTTAGCATATATTAAAATTTCATTTTCATCATCAAAAACGTATATTTTATCTCTGAGGTCAAGTATTTTCAATAGAATTGGATAGTGAGGATGTAATTCAAAGCGTTTAATGTCATCATTTAGATTTTTGTTATTAGAATTTCGAGGGGTTGCAAAGGTTTGAGTTTGATAAATATTCCTTTGTAATTGATTTGCTCGAAACGCCATACTTTTTTATTTAGAATGTTAGCACAAATAAAATTCAAAAAGTTGCAAATATCAAAAATGCTTATTTAAATTGTATTTTCGAGAGTTAAAATTATTGGACCCTTTCAGAGATTAATTGTAATCAGACAAAATGTAAATCTCCTGCTTAAAGATTTTTCGCTTGTAGGAGTTTATTGTTAAAATAAATAATTGCATAAAAAAGTATGATATGGACACGAACAATTGTCCAGCGAAAACTAAAGGAAAATATCATTGTTTTTGTAATAATGGCAAATCTAAATATTGACAATTAATTTGATATCATTTTTAAAAAAAAAACCCGCATCATGCAACCGTGATTTGTAAAGATTCTTTGCTCAATATTGATTTCTGGTATTGATTAGTTTTCTTCGACAAATAATCATAGGCAGCGCATCATGTTGTTAATCTTTAATATCGATATACGTAGCAAGTATGTGAAAAAATGTTGCTCGCGAAATGACAAATCAGAAGACATAGTAATATAACTGACAACGAACGCATTCACTACAATGGATTTTAGATTCCATCTTTGATAAAATGGTTTTATTTAAAACTTAAAATGATAAATAAACGAAATAATAGGTGTGGAAGTCGATTTCTGCGTTAAGCATTACTTAGAATCGGATTTTGAACTTCAGTCAAACTAATTCGGTTTTTGAATTATCCAGTTTGGAATTTAAACTGAACTGGTTCAATTATTTAACATCACTAGTCTTAGTAAGCCATTCGTTTTTAGATTACTGTAATTGGAATATATCTATTTTACACACACAATCGGTGTTTTTGTACATGTATAACCATTCTTTCAAACCAGTTTAAGCTGAGTTAAAAATGCAGTTTATCGTTATTTTAAAATTGTTTTGCTTAAATATAGAACTGCGTAGTTTAGTCAATTAGTTGATAGCTTATTAACTCCTTAGCGTTAGTACATGTACGTATATCGAAGTACATGAATGCAACAATTATAAATACATATTTTCCTTTTTAGCAATGCAGCCATATAATATTTACTTATCAATATTTTTTTATAACACGTTTAAGTTTTTGTAATATCAATGCATAACGATAATAATTTTTAATCGAAAAAAATTAGATGTTGTTAGTTTGAGGCGGTTCAGTTGGATAGCTCGAAAACCTAGCAATTCAAGAGCCAGTTTCTGGATTTAACTTAAAGCTGATTATGCGAAAATCTTTATTACCTCACTTATTAAAGCTTTCAAAAACAAAATCGAGAACATCTTTCATAGACGCACAGTTTATATGACTAGATACACACCCCTACAATATATTACCGGAAATTTCAAAAATGGATTTGTCACTTTGAAACCCGATATCTTGACATCCGGTAATCCCATTCGAACAAAGATATCACCATTAGATTCGTATAGTCGAGGAAAATCTAATGGTAATATCTTTGTTCGAATGAGATTACCGGATGTCAAGATATCGGGTTTCAAAGTGACAAATCCATTTTTGAAATTTCCGGTAATATATTGTAGGGGCGTGTAGATACAATGGCGTAAGCAGAGGGCCTTGCCATCACAGCATTCATGGAATCCTTCTCTTTAATGCGGTAGGGATAGAAAAAATTAAGCATGTTACATATAATGCAAATGCAGTCTCAAACCTTACTATATTCAAATTCAAAACATTATAGATTATGTTATCTCGAAAACCGTGAATAAAATTCATGATCAAAATCAACCGCGCGCGGATCATATAACTGAAAATCAGTAGTTAAAATATAAAAAATCTGATTACGTATTATTATTTTGTATCAGATCCACTTTTTAGCGCATTATATAAAACTATAAAAACAATAAAAGTTTCTACCTATTTCATATTCTTTGAATATTCCGGAAGAATTTACGTAGCTGTAGAAAAGCATCTCCATGACCCCTCACTATCTTCAATCGCCTCACCAACCATCGATTATGCATTAATAGTCTATTCTCGGGTTTATATATAAGGTAAGTTTGGTTAGCGATTTACGTTATTTGTCTCGTATAAAAACCTAAACAAAAATAACGAAAATATTACCTTAACTATATTTAGTGCTTGGCGGTGATAACACAAGGAGTATTTAATTTTAGTCACACTTTTACTAATAACGTTTTCTAGCTGCTTCTTTACAGTGAATGTTATTCGAAAAAAAAATACCGGACACCTTATATGATCACAAAATTCCGAATTCAATTCACAAACAAAACAGGTTTAGTTAGTAATTCATTCTATCTGTATTTTATAAAACAAAAGTGAAATTTTCTTACCTATTTTCCTCTTCTATGTCCGAAGTCATCTTTGGTAGTACTATAAGCTGTGTTCTTATCTCGATTGCATACGCGGGCATCTAGAAAAAAAAGCAAGTTCTTGATTAGTGACGATGAACCGCACAGCTTAAATAAGGGAATGATAATTATATTTTAAGCATCGAATAAAATTTGAAAGAAGGGAGGCATTGGATGGCGGGCTATGTGAATTGATCCTGTTAATATGTATGCTAGGATTATGTGTCGTATATTTTGGATTTTTAATCGACAGTGAATGCATTATTTAACGCTAATAAATGTTCCCGGTTTTAGCATTTCGATTCACACTGATCGTACATAGTAAATTGAGTGATCCAAATTAATTGTGGAATACATGTATAAAGAACCAATCCTTTTGTAATAATAAATTCATTTTGCTTCGCAAAAAACCTAGTACAAAAGTTGCATTTTTTATTATAAAGTTTAATTTGAATGTTTGCTGTATCAGTATATTGCGATAGAGCAATGAAAATTAATGTTTAATGCATATACATATACAGTACTGTTACCATTTTCAACAAAACTTTCGTAATTCAATAATTTTTATTATGGTGTATCATAATTTCATCCAATGATATATTAATTTGATGTTATACAAGCATGTACATGTATTTGATATTAAACAATCATCATGTCACAAAGTTTGGGGGTCAAATGCATTTACTATGAAGATCGGAAAATTTTCCCATATAGTGGATTTCCAATTTTTATATGTAAATGGATGAGATGTCCATTTACATTCCTCTACAACTTTTTTCCTCATAAATAAACACACCTTTTCTTATTATTAAAAGTTTGTCTTTTTACTTTAGCCTATTGAAATATTAATTTAGTTTATTAGTAATGGTTTTGGTTAAAAGAAAATCTTTGTCATTGTAAGTTCAAAAAATAATAACAGAATGATCGATATATGAACAATGTACGTACATATATGTAATAGTGATAATAAAATAAAACTACAGATGATGACGACGACGAAACTAAAGATAGTTCTTCAGATATATTATTTTCAGTAAATGAAGAAACTTGTACTGTGAATTTTAATGTAAAAAAATAAATTATAGTAACTATTTTTTATTTATTGGAATTAGAAAAGCTAAGATTATGAGAAGATTTGATGTATAGCATTTATGGGTTATTAATATGGAGTAAAAAATTTCAGCATCGTGGATGAGACCTAGAGAATTTGTCTGAAATTCATTCTTGTGATAGTATTTTTTTTGCAGTCTTCATTAATGCATTTTCAATTATTCAAGAGCCATTTGCTTTAATTTTTGTGATCAAAATTTAGATTCCATTCCTATTTCAAAGATTTCAATATATTAAAATTTGTAATTTTAAATAATATTTGAGTTTTGAATTGTATATTTACACAGAATTAGAAGTGATGTTTCTGTTAGTTAAAAGTTTAGATTCATAAAAGTAAGTTTTTAATTTTGAGAAATTAATTTAGAAATTAATTGACAATCACGTCCCAAATTTTGGGGCATTTGCTATAAAAATCTAATTTTCATTCCTTTATTGTTATTATTAGAAACTTCTTTTTTTCATGAATATACTTTCTTTATTAATATCTTGTTTTATTATTTCTTATTATTGCTTTGTCTTAGTAATAAATTTAATTAAAACAAATTTTTCAAAAATAAGTGACATACTATTATTATATAGAGTTATTTGACGAAACAATTACAGATACTGATGATGATGAAATCATAAACAAAACTTCAGATGATGAAACTACAAATGACAAAATTACTAGTGATGAAACTATTGATAATAAAACTATTGATAAAACTATAAATGATAATAATAATTCAAGTAATTCAGATATAATCTTTGCATTAAACAAAGAAACTTTAGCATTAGCTCATAAAATAGCAGCAGAGAAATTTGCTTTAGAAAGTGAAGAGGATGAATTGTTAGAAACCTTAGATTATATTAATGATATTGATGATTTTTTGCTTGAAATCAGAATGAAATCAACAGAAAGTAATGAACAACTAATTCTACTTCAAGATACTCATGAAACTCAATTAGAACTAAAATCCTGTTGTGTAATTGATATTTTTAATGGAGAAATATAATATTGTAATTCTACTATCAAACTCAGAAGATTGCAATAACTCATTGATATGTGAAAAATTAAAGTAAGTGCACTTCAAGAAGTTGAAAACAATATTCAAAGATTGGGTATATTGTCATGATATGACATTTAACGAATAATCTTATTGGATAAGATTTATATTCATTATTATTGGATTATAATTA